TGCAAGGAGATCCAACCAGTCCATCCTAAAGGAAATCAGTCCTGAATATTCATTGGAAGGACTGATGCTGAAGCTGAAACTCCAATACTTTGGCCACCTGATTGAAGAACTGACTCATTGGAAAAGACCCTGATGCTGGGAAAGATTGCGGGCAAAAGGAGAACGGGACGACAGAGGATAAGGTGGTTAGGTAGCACTGCTAACTCAGTGGACATGAATTTGAGCAAGCTCCAGGAGCAGGTGATGGACAGGAAAGCCTGGTGTTCTGCAGCCCATGGGGTTTCAAAGAGTCGGACATGATACAGCAACTTAACTGAACTGAAAAGTCAACCAATACAACTGACCCCTATTTTTGTATCCCTGTCATTTAAATAAAACTCTGGAAATTCAACTTTCACATAAACCAAAGCTGTACAAAAATCTCAAGTATGTTTTAAACATATATCTTTCACTTAAATAGACTCCAAAACATAAATGTTGTATATTTGCAAGAATAACAGGTCTTGGATTTAGTGATGAAATAAATTAAAACTGAAATAAGTTAAACTCAAGAGTTTGAGTACATCTGTCTTAGAATCACCCTACAAGTAAGAGGAGACTCTCTGTGTACTATGAAAGCTTCGTAGTTGAGCTCTCAGCAGAAAAAGCAGTTTTAATAAGTAACAAGACAACTCTCTTTTCTCTATGCAAGTATTAAAAAATACTCAGTCAAGTGGGGGAGAAACGAAGCCCACCACAGACCCAGCCGAGCAGAGAACAGCACTTGGGATGCTGACCCTCCAGAGAAGCAGGCGGGAGTGGGAGGGGGCCAGGAGCCCGCACGGAGGACACACGCTGGTCCCGCAGCTGGGGGGCTGGGGGTGGTCAGGGAGGTTATTACCACTTTACAGCCTTGGGTACCATTAGAAAAGGCTTCCCTGGTGGCTCAGTTGGTAAAGAACCCGCCTGCAATGCAGGAAACCCGGGCTCAATTCCTGGGTCAGAAAGATCCCCTGGAGAAGCGATAGGCTACCCACTCCAGTATTCTTGCCTGGAGAATCCCATGGACTGCAGCCTGCCCAGCTCCTCTGTTCATGGGGTGGCAAGAGTCAGACACGACTTAGCGACTAGACCACCACCACCATTAGAATGTATGTAAAACTGTGCACACGCGTTACTGTTTCCCCGCAGAAGCACCAGCCCGTGCAAACCTGATCGAACCTGCCTGTCCACCATCAGCAACAGGGTGAACCGAGGGGGCTCCCGAGGGCGGCAGGGGGGCCGGCCGCATGCCCAGGGCCAGGGCTGGGCTGCACGGGCCTTGGACGGCTGACCGCCTGCATCTGAAGGGGGTGGGGGGGCCCAGCCATCACACGGGGAGCCTGGGCTGGGGGTGGGGGGCGGGCGGAGAGGCAGGACTAGGGCCCAGCTGGGCTGGAGGTGGGCGCCAGCCTGGAGGGCCTGCACCTGCCTGCCAGCCACCGAGAGGCCCCGAGAGCACCCTCCACGGCCACCAGATGCTGTGTCCAGCTTTCTGATCTGACTGGCTGGAAACCCACCTGAGTCCTGAAGAACCAACATCCCTACCTGCGTGAGCACGTGATGTGCCACACCGCAAACGAGTTTTCAGGGGACGTCAAGTCTGAATTTCCCTCCACGCTGCCACAGTCCTTATGGGAGTTCCTTGACACCGAGTGCCACATCTGACACACACACGCACAGCTTCTAACCACCGGAAATTTGCAATTTCAACAGTAGTCTGATGGCTGCTGTTTCCCCAACCTCCTGACCTAATTTTAAACTAAATCTCCCACTTCTAACTTTCAAAAATTCCTTTTCTCCACATTTGCAGTGAGCTGTCCCAATGTTCCGACACGAAGGTCTCCTCCGAAGGTTCCCATCAGTATGGCAACCCTGCCCTGGCGAGGACGGACCCCACCCCGCCCATACCACGGGTGGAGTGAGGCTGTCTTCCCTGGAGGTCGTACCTGCCCACCATGGACTGTGCATTTCCAGGTCCAAGGAGACAGATTCCAACATACAGAGAACTTGGGATTTAAGTCAACCTCCACTGTACTTGAAAGACACATAAGCCACTGGAAATGCCATCACTGAGGAGCAGGGCCCTCCACGGCCGAGCAGGACGGGGCTGGCATCCCCCCCAGGCAGACCCAGGAACAGAGCCCACGGAGGTCTCTGCCGGCCTGCAGGGCAGGTCCCCCGGAGGCTCCCCCAGCCTCCCCCATCCCGATTTCTGACTTCCTCCCCCTCTCTGCCTCTGGCCCAGCATCCGCACCCCACCCTCTCCGCGGCCCCTGCAGGGCTGGGTGCTGACACGGGGCCTGCCGCCCACCGGGGCTCCTGCTCTTCCTGGGTGCCAGCTTCTCTCCGAGTCTCGGCAGCAGCACTTGGGCAGGGCTGGCCCTGCCATTCTGACTGCCTCCTGGCTCCCCCTGCCACTCGCCACTCACAACCGGGCCAGCACGCGAAGTGCAGGTCCTCTGGACCACACCAGCTGCCCTCAGCAGACCGTGGCCTGCAAGCTGTGGTGCATGACCTCGCCCCCCGCCTTCCCCCTTGAGGCCACCACTCTCGCGAAGTCACCTACCTGAACACGCCAGCTCTGCCCACCCGGCTTCCCCCGCGGGCTGCGGGTGCCGGCCCCAGCCCCCAGCCCTCACCGTGGGCCAGACCCCCGCGCGCGCACTCTGCCAACACCCCAAGGCAGGGTGCCCCCTCACCCTGGCTCCTAACGAGCTCCAGCACATGTCCAGAACCTTGCGTCCATGTCAGGACACTCGCCCCCAAGTCCCTGACCCCGTGTCCATCCCCCACCCCGGGGACCGCCCCTCCAGCATCTCAAAGACCAGGTACTATCAACTGGCCACCGTTTACCCCGAGAGAGGGAGGCAGGGAGGGACACTTCTTACATACCAATAAACACTCTCTTTAACTATCCATACCCCCACCCCTGAACTTGGCTTCAGCTCTGCCAGGGCCGCCTGGGGTTAAGTGCCCGACCTCAGGGGCCTCCTCCCCCAGGCGGGCACATGACCCGCCACCACCGGCCAGTCTACAGGAACCTGTCTGCTCACACCTGTCTGCCCTGCCTGTCCTCTGCAGGGGAGAGGGCGCCAGGCTCCCGTCCACACGCACCGCCTTGTCTCCAGGGCCCCCACACACAGGGGGACACACACACACAGGGAGACACACACACACACACAGGGACCCACACACACACAGGGGGACACACACACAGGGGGACACACACACACAGGGGGACACACACACCCCTCAACTGCCTTACTTTTGTCTTGAATGGAAAAACAGCTACTGAAGTGTTTAAGGTCCATTCTGTATTGTAAGCTCCCATCACAAAACTGTAAATTAAAACTCAGGCTTCTCCAATGAATGAGCAAACCACGCCATGCCCTTTATCGACCCACAGCCCATCGTAAACACCAAGGCACAGCTGGCAGCCTCGGGCTTCCCTCTGTCGCCACCGTCGGGAAAGCCTGGCCATGGGGCGTGTGCCACTTAGCAGGGTCACGGCTCTCGTCAGGAGTCTGCAACTGAACACACGCGCGTGTGTGGACACAGAGACTACAGAACACGCCCTCGGGCAAAGAAACACTGCTCGCGCGTTAACTGTTCCGAAGCAGAAAATAACCGGGCATTTAAAAAGACTGCAATGGGACACTGACATTTCTGCCTCAGAGGGACTCACGTGTGCCACGTTGGAGGGGCGGCTGATCTGCTGGATGTCGGCGTTGTTCGTGATGTTCCTCAGTGTCCGGACAGCCGGACTCCAGGTGGCCATCACCTCGGGCCTCTCAGGGCCCTGCAGGCTCTGTCCCGGCGCCAGCAAGCTCCCGCGGACCTCAGGCGGCAGGATGCCCCCGGGCACGGGCGGCACGTTGGCGCACAGGTTAATCAGCCCAGGCTCCTTGCCAGGGGGCAGCCGGCGCTTTGCCGCCGCCAGCTGGGGGACCTCTGCGGGCGTCCAGTTTAAGTTCCTCTCCTGCTTCTCCGGCGAGGAGTCTGAGGAGTCGTCGAACATCAGCTCCCCTTTGGACTTCTCAGCACGCGACTTGGGTGAGAACGGCGGCTCGCCGGAGGGGGAGCCCTCCTGAGAGCTGGCCGGGCTGGACTTCCCGTCCGTGCTGCCCTCGTGCGGGGAGTCCGGCTCCTCATCGCCCGCCCCCTCCTCCTCCCCCTCCTCCTCCTCCTCGTAGACGACGAGGCGGGGATGATAGAGGGCTTCGTCCTTCCTGGTCTTCTCGGAGATGCAATCCAGGACCCAGTCGGGGGTCACGACCTTAATGCTGCCTCTCTTCAAAGCACACTCGTATTTCTCCTGTGGGTGAAGCACAGAGAAACACAGAAACAAGCTACAGGCTTTATCAGATTGCCCAGAATTACGCACTCAAAGCAAGAACTCTAAGAGAAGGGTCAGTTGCTGCTGTGGTCACTTCACCCACAGGAACCACTCAGACCCCTTCAAACAGGAGACATGAAGAGCCACAGCAGTGGTCACGGGACGCCCTCGCATGTGCCGACAGTAGTCTGAAAAGACTGTGCTTCAATTCTCATTTACAAAGGCAACTTCAGACACAACACTCAGAGCAAGGACCCCTATGGGACATTCAGGAGCAAAAGGCGTGGCTGGCATCCAGCGTGGTGATCACTGAGAGCCGCTCAAGCCGTGTCGTGGTGGACGGAGCCCCCAGGACCACAGGCAGTCATGGGGCTGCCCATCAGGCAGCCGGCGTGCACCAAGCTTGTTGCACTGAAGGCAGAAAGTTGCAATGACCATGACCCCACGAGGCTTCTGACTGAGCTCTGCACAGGGGTCAGACAGGCGCCGGGACAACAGGGGAAGCCAGCGCTAAGCCGCGCAGGCCCCGGGCAAGCAGGTCTGGCGGGGGCTGTGAGTGGGGATGCCCGGCGGGCGGACGCTACTAGGGGACAGGGCAGATCAGAAGGGACGCCCCAGGGAAGAGACGAAGGAAACCCTACGCAAGAGCAATGTGATAAGGCAGCTTCAAATAAACCAGCTCGTAAACATGGCTCGGTGACCCGACAGTCTGACCCACCTCTGCTAAAGCCTCGGCTAACAGCCATTCTCCAGAAAACTCACACTTCGGGCCCTAAACTACACCCACTTTCTGCTGTGGGCCAGGGGCATGCTGGAGGACCCAAAGACCCTCCCCAGCCCCGCCTTCAGCCTTCAGAGGAGGTGCGAGCCTGTATACCCGGAAACTAGCCCCCTCCTCCAAATACTAAGCAACATACCTTGTTTTCTGGCTGTTATTAAATTCCTCCATTCTTCTCAATTTAAAACAATTTAAAAATTCAAGAATACAGAAAAGACAGTTTCATCATGCCATTTATATATTTTCTCCATAAATTTATCAAAAGTGAAAAAAATTACTTTAAACGTGCCATTTATTTTTGTGTATAGTCAGATAGCTCAGTTGGTAAAGAATCTGCCTGCAATGCAGGAGACCCCGGTCCAATTCCTGAGTCGGGAAGATCCCCTGGAGAAGGGATAGCCTACCACTCCAGTATTCTTGGACTTCCCCTGTGGCTCAGCTGGTAAAGAATCTGCCTATAATGCGGGAGACCTGGGTTTGATCCCTGGGTTGAGAAGATCCCCTGGGGAAGGGAAAGGCTACCCACTCCAGTACTCTGGCCTGGAGAATTCCACGGACTATACAGTTCATGGGGTTGCAAAGAGTCAGACACGACTGAGCGACTTTCACTTTCAGCTAATCTGACAAATCCACTCGATTGATATACTGCCTCCAACTGTAATTTGACCCCTTTACAAGTATTCTCTCAGTTTTAAAACTTACACACATTTCATTCCCCTTAAACTAGCTATAGAAAATCTAAGGATTGATTTTCAGCCATAAACCAATGTTGATAAAAAGAAAAAAAAAAAAAAAAACCTACGCTCTTTAACCAAAGCATACTACTTACCTTTTAAATTGTCATGTAAGATACAACTTTTTACTTAAGTGGACTTGAAGATTTGCCCCAAATTTTCAGAGCTTCTCCTTGGATTATGTGGCATACTAAGTTACAAGCACACTCACCAGCTCACACAACTCACTTTCTTGTCAGAGAACGAGCACCATGAACGGTACACATCCACAGCTGCCCTGCTCCCAGGGCTCCAGGGAAAGGGACCGTCCTGGCAGGTCTGTCAGCCTCCACGCCCCCTTCACCCGGACCTGGCCACACGCCCTGCTCCCAGGGCTCCAGGGAAAGGGACCGTCCTGGCAGGTGATCTGTCAGCCTCCACGCCCCCTTCACCCGGACCTGGCCGCACACCCTGCTCCCAGAGCTCCAGGGAAAGGGACCATCCTGGTAGGTGGTCTGTCAGCCTCCACACCCCCTTCACCCGGACCTGGCCGCACGCCCGCCTCCCACTCAGTGAGTCTGTGCACTCAGGAGACACACGCAGTGTTGATTCAGACTGAGGGCAATAAAAAACATGGAGGCAATGACAGACATGGGAATGTTAACTTGTCAAAAGACCTTCCTACTATGAATACTATGCTTAATTCTCAAAGTTCTAAATGACTGTCCATGGGAGGAAAAAAGCTCAGCTTCCACAGTTCTTATTCTTCATGTGGGGCCGCGGCAGAAGCCCCGGGCTCCCCACCCCAGCAGGTCCTGTTTCACTCGGTCTGGGGCGGGTGGGCAGCCAGCCTGCGGCCCTAACACGCCCTGGGGGGCTGGACTGCTAACCGGCACCCCACTCGGGGATCCCCAGGCCCACGACCCCACCCGTGCTTAGAGAAGAGCCCTGGGCTCAAGCAAACACCACTGAAATATTCCAGATTGTTAAGGATAGTACACTGAGAACTGCTCCAAATGCATGTTTATAATTATACTCAGTACGACCCTGTGTAAAAATTGTAAAAAGCACTAACACGTATTTTCACAAAATTGAAGTTTTAGTCAATATGAAAGGAAACCCAAAGGTTCAAAAATCTGTCCAATCCTCAACATGAATAAACCCAAATTTCTTTGTATTTAAAAGTCACATGCGGTTCAAAGTAAAATGCGTCATCTTCCATCCTTTGTGGAATGAAGCTGTTTTGTATGTGACATAAACTCAATCAGCTTTTGCAAAGAGAATCCAGTTAATTTAAAAGAAGTTCAAAGAAGACATGAGATGACTGGAAATGCTTAGAAGACATTTAAAGGAGAACGTACATGGGTCGCTTACCCCCTTTGGCTCGGGAACAACCAGGTGCGTGCACTTCTTGTTGAGGTTCAGCTGGCAGCCGCCCCCGTGGAAGGTAAGCATCGCCCACAGAGCGCTTCTGTCCTCAGGCGACACCTGGCGGGAACCGGACATCAAGCTTCCACCACACTCACCGACTTGCTTGCCCACTTTATGTGACATCATAACCACTTTGCTCATCTACTTTCTTCCTTCTTAAATGAAATTAACCTAAGCGTATTAGTGGGAAAAACATGAGCTGAAAGCTATGTGCTTGTTACAGTAACTTTTACTCCTATCGTAAGTTTTATAAACATCACCTTTTCTGCCTTGTCACCAAATAAATTAAAAAATACTTATGTCCACACTCTAGGGGCTGAGTGGAGGATTACTTCATTACACAACAAAATGATAGGGAAAAAGAACTAGTACATCAAACTCCGTCTTCCATCTGTCATTTTTTAAAATGTTTAAATACAGTAGTATAAAGATCATATTCAAGGGATTCCTTAAGAATTAATGGATAACAAATAAATGCTTATAATGAAATGAATTAAAAATAAAAGACAAAAATACAGTGGCGTATAAGCTCAGGGGAAAACGTAACTACCAAGCACACAGAACATGAGGCAAGCATAACAGGCGTAACTCCTATGCTTGCGCAAGTGGTGAAGTGAGGCTCAGATGCGACGGCTTATGCTGAGACAGAGGCTCTCACTACAGAGCCAACAGCTCCATTCATTGCCTGCCTACGATGTGCCAGCAACTGTGCCAAGGGCTCCTCGTCCCCGCGGCCCGGTGCGGGACGCCCGAGCTCACAAAGTCAGAGCTCATCATTGCAAAATCTAGGTCTGCCTAAGCCCAGGCCTGACTCCAAACTGTACTTCCCACTGCTCTAGACTACTCGCTAAGGGCCGGTCCTGCTAAAAACAATTTCTAAAAACTAAGACTTAATCATCTGAAACTCAAAAGAAACATTTAAGGAAAACAAAGGTGTGAATTCTAAAATAATCATTGAAGTCAATTTTTTGCTAGATAACGTATTATAAATTGTGAATTACGGTTAAGAATTCTGAACTTTGTCTCAAGCTAATTTCTTATAAGTTTAACAAAAAATTTTAACTGTCATTATTCAGATTGATGAAAATCTAACATCCTGTATCTACTCTCCATTTTACAAATATTTCTAGAAATTATTTTGCATTCCATACTACTCTGTGAATACTAACAAGAACACATTAATTTTACAAAGTCACCTTAAAATCATTCTTTTGTATCTCATTAATTTAGTCAGTCAGTGACACATTTCAGGTTTGATCAGAAGGTGTTATTTTTAATAGTGGCTTCCACAAAAACATATCCTGCAGCATTTGGTGGTGAGATTTAACTACATGATGAAACATATGACTCTAATAAATCATTATATAATCTTTATTACAAATGAAATAAAAACCGCAATCTAGACATGGCTTTATTATTTTTATTTCACTGACTACTCCACCCTACGGCCTGGACCTTGGCTGGGTTTCAACAGCGCACAGCAAACTGCTGTGGAAAGAACGTCGCACGGGGGAGGCAAGGCCTGGCGTGGACAGAGCCCCCAACTCCAGCTTGTATCAACGTGGAAAACTCCCTGGAATCAGTCTTCACCGACCTGTGCTTGCATTAAGTGATGTGGACATATCTGCACCAGCCATCCAATGAATCTCTAACGGTGTGATGAAGAATGCTCTTTCCACACCAAACTGTTAACAATAGCTACCTAGTGCTGACAGGGTCATGGGGACATTTTCATTTTCATACTTTTCTGTATTCTCCAAATTTTCAAAAGCATTAATTTTATAACTGGGGAAAAAAATGCTATTCTTTTTTTAAAAAGCAATCTTCCTAAGCTAATCTATCAGCTCAGCTAAAAAAAGCCTGGACGTCTCCTCGAGCCGTCGAGCTCAGGTCTGAGCGCTTCCAGAGTGTCCTGGGCCCCCCGACCTGTGCACGGCTGGCGGCTCGTTCTGGCCCTGGGCCCCCGTCCTCCTCAGCTCGGCGCCCCGGCCCCTGCACTCCCACAGCGAGCTGCCCCCATGGGGCACCAAGCCCCACTCCACCCTGGGCAGAGGCTGCCCCTCGCCGCGTTCCCCACGGGGAAGGGCCTCCCTCTGCACCAGGATGGCCCTTCTCAGGCCTCCCGCCCAGACACTCCTGGGGTGCAGCTCCATGAGCCCCTCCTCGTCCCTCCTGCGCACGAGCTCTCAGCCCACAGACCAGGGAGGAGAGCCTCGGGGGTGAGGCCTGTCCTGACCTCGGATCCTCGGCTGGGGCCTAGTACAGTGCGAGGCACAGGGTAGGCAGTCAAGAAATTCTTTGCTGATTGAGATACACATGGAAAGGGCCTCCCAGAGTGCAGTCAGGCCCCGGCAGGCGCTCACACACGGGGACCTGCCCACCACCTACCCCGCACACGACAACCGAGGCCGCAGCCTGCGTCAACACCGGCTCAGGAGAAGGCGGGTGATGTCTGTGCTTCCCAGCTCCTGCCGGCACAAGCGCCCTTCCCTACCTCTCCCTGGAGCGCTCTGGAAGACTCCAACAAGAGCTCCAGCGTCTCAACACCCTGACGGGAAAAGACAGAAGGTCACTGAGAACCGCCAACATCAGTCCCTCCGTGGCGGTGGAGCCCCACCTGCCTGCCTGCGTGCGCACGCGTGTGCGTGTGCCCATGCTCCAGAGGCTGCTCAGGCAGGTTACCCGTGCTGACCCTCCCCACCCCAGTGCTGCCCACACCCGAGGGGAACCTGTCTCCCGCTTCACAAAGCACCAGCACAGGTGCGGAGGACGGACGCGTGTTAATCTATCTCAGAACCGCATTAGCAAGTTTCAGCAGCCAGAGCGTGTCCCCACTGTGCTGTGAGCTTCCTCATTCCTGGCTCAGCCACTGACTCTGATGAAGCAGAGCTTCCTTCGCCATGAGTGACGGTGAAATAAGTGCAGTGAGTGATGGACCCAGAAAAACCACACTTCCATCACCGTGAAGATTGTATGAAGGTTCTGGGGTCTGAACGGTACTCCTAATGGATCCGCTTCAGACCCATAAAACCCTTGTCAGCGATCTCGCTGAATCCACCATTCCGTCCACCACGGCCTAGCTGCCCCCGGCCGCGAAGTGCACACCCGGACAAGGCCCCAGCTGGACCACCTCGCAGACACCCGCCCACCAACCCCGGCTGCCTCTCAAGGTCTTTCCTCGGGTCCCCACTCTCCCCTCTGCTGACCTCACCCGTAGCTTCTCAACCCAGAGCCGGAGGTCCACGCAGACCCCCAAGCCCACGTGCGGCTGCAGCCAGCCCCCTGCCCGCAGCACTGAGCCGGACAGTGGGGCTCAAGCTGACACTCCGCGTGTCCCCCTGCTGGCCCTGGCGATGAACCCGCGCGGGGTCTGAGACCCTGGCTCCTAGAGCTGCCCCCGCCATCATCTCTGCTCACTCTGAAGCCTCCTGTCTCCCCACTCAAGGCTGTCCCCGACCCTGTGCCTCCCCCCAGCCTCCCGGGTGAGGACGCGCTTCTCCGCCTTCACGCGTGTCCCAGGTCCCTGTGCCTGGACAGCACTGGGCTTCAGGCTGACCGCGTCGCTTCCCCTCCGAGGCCCAGGTCCAGCGATGCTCCTGACTTGGGACAGGCAATCACCCGCCGTGCCTCTCTGTGGACCAGCCACCAAAGCCCCACTGTGAGCATCGGCTCCTCCTCTGCACCCTCGGGTCACCCAGACCCTCTGACTCCCGTCCGCCCGCGCCTCAGGCCTGCGCTGTCTTCATGGACCCGGTGCTAACGGGGGCTCAAGCCCCCGTCTCAAGCCCGCACCCCATTCCGACCCCGCCCGCTATTCCTGCTCACGGCTCACAAATCAGTTGCACCTACGGGAGTGCAAGTGATTTTAACTTGTTTGCCTTCTTCCTGTGTTTTCCAAATGTTCTGATGTAAACATCTGCGAAGGAGAGAAGCCAGCTACCTCATCAAGCTCACTCCCGCACCCAGTTTCTGCCTCCGGTATCTCCTAGCTCTCCTCTCCACCCAAGCAGGCAGCCCCGCTGAGGCTGGCGCCCTCACAGCGCTGTGTCCCCACGTCCCCTCCGTGTCCTCTCCCCTCCAGCTCCACCCGCTCCACCCTCTCAGATCTCACCTCCTCAAGGCCGGCCTGACCCTGCCATCCACCCGGCCCCGCCTTCTCTGAGCTCACAGGTGACCCCCTGCGGCCCAGCCACGCACACCGGCCCTCACACACCAGGCTACTGACTACGTGTAACCCGTTATGTATGCCAAAACCTTTGTCAAATGTAACTACACTTCTATTTCTCCAAGACTAAAAGGCTCTCCAGTATCAAACTCAGACCCCTAATTTAAAACCCTGTGATCGCCTCATATTCAGACTCTAATCAATGAATAATCTTATTTTTCCAAGTCAGGTCTGCTAAATACCATGTCACTATGACCTTGACCCTTGAAAACAGCCACAGGACTCCATGCCTCGGCCTCTGACTCTCTTGTCTGGAGAGTGGGCTCTGAATCATGAACCCAGAGATCCAATCAGTACAAACAGAATTAAACACAAATTTTACATTTTAGCCACTGTATATTGTGCTTTCCCATAAGGAGTAATAGTAATAAAATATTTTCATTTTAAAAACTTTTCTGATGCTTATTATAAATTTGGAATATACAGAGAAGTATAAAGAAAACAATAAAAATTACCCGTAACCATAGTACCCATTATAAAACTGTCTTCATTTTAGCCAATTTTAAAAATCATCATCATATAAATATACATTATTAAGAAAGATGTGAAAAACACTGAAAAATACAAATACCAATAAAATTCCTATTCTTAAGGAAAAAAACCAACTTTTCAAGGATCTCTATTAAATCATTGTAACAAAAACAAAAAAGAATTTTATAATTTTAAAGAACTTCCAGAATTTACAAGAAACACAAAATCACTCGACGTACTGTCTGGGCAGAGAAGGGGTCATGGTGATACCACCTGTACAAAAAACTTGAGTCTGGCTGATAATCCAACAGTATTAAACTAATGTTACCTGGTTTCATAATCTTCTGCTACAAAGGTGTAAGAAGGCAGGATTCTAATCAAATTCCTTTTCGTCTCACCTAACGTCCTAGACACCCCGTTCTTGAAGGCCTCCAGAGATGGGGAGACCCAAAGCGTCAGCATCAGAGCCTCAGAAGAAAGGAGGTCCTCGGGCTACAGAAACCAGACCGGATAAGAGAGCCTCCTTCTGCCCGGTGGCCACACCTGACTCCGAGCAAGCTGAGAGTGAGCTCGACCACCACCAGCCTGGTTTTTCATAAAAGCTGTTCACAGCCTGAGGGTTTTCCAGCGGGGGACTGAGAGACAGACGAGGACGGAACGACGCTGAACATGCGCTGCTCCCAGAATCTATCACTGCCGACGTCCTGGTCCCTCTTTCAGATGTTGTCTGTTTCCCCAGGTATTTCTCACATGTTTTATTTGGTTGATGTAACACTGTACATAACTATGTTATATCCTGCTTTGTCCCCCATTTAAAAAATTACCCATGTCTGCACATACGTTTATAAAACAAAATTCAAAACTCTAGATTACTACGTATTAATAATGAACCAAGACAGTTTCTTAAATATTTCCAAATGGTGGATGATCTGATTGTTTCCAATTTTGTCCTCTCATAAATAATGCTGCCTTTATGCATCAATCTGCCGTTATTTCTACCAATTTGGGATCAATGTCTAAGCACACGAGACCTGCAGGGAAAACACTGAGTCTCCTACGGGTCTGACACGGCTCAGCTTTTCTAGAAAACTGCTCACTGATCTGCACTCCTGTGGGGGCGGGGAAGCCTGTCGACAGCTCAGCCAGCACTGAATACACGGTCACACATTTGAGACCAGACACTCTTATCTCAGGGCTATCAACAGGCACACAAAGTTTATCAAATGTTTTGCTATACGTATCTGAAACTCCTCTTCATAAAAACTTTTTACTGGTCTGCATAAGCCTCTTATTTACTACGAAAAATTCTCTTTTACCTCTGAATGAAGTTTCCTTGTCACCTTTCAATTTCATTTTTAACATGTCTTCATACTCAAGTTTTAAATCTCTGTAATTCCTTAGATTAGAAAGACCATTTTCACCCATTAAAGCTTTGAATCTTAAGATTGGGTATGAATATTTAAATAACTGTTGTAAGGTCATATTGAATATGCAGTTTAGTTAAGCAACACTGGTGGTTTACAAGTACAACATATGTCCAATCACATAAAAATTCAGAACTGTTACGTAAATAACACAAGAGGAACTGTGCCACACTTACCTGGGAGAGGCAGGCTGTGATTCCAAAAAAAATCCGACACGACTCTGGAGAAAAGCCATTTACTCTGTTGTTCACGGATTAAGAGTCCAATGAAATGAGACCAGTGCAACCTCTACGCCGCTCAGAGACAGCTCCTACCGGCCCGTGTGAACACCGCCCACCTTCTGCTTCCCACTCAATCCATTCAGCAGAGAGGCAGGCGTAAGCTGGCTAAAGAAGAGCGCAGGGCAGGGGGAAGGAGAAGCTGACAGCGGGCGCAAACAGGACGGAGGCGCGCGGTAAAGCACACCCTCAGAGCCTCTCCAGGTGCATCAGCAGGATGGGCGCCACACGCTCGTGGGAAAAGCGCCTAACTACACACACACACACACGCACACATGCACACACGCACGTGCACACACACACAGCCACATCCAGCCCAGCACTGTCCTAAAAGAACACTGAGTTTACCTGAGCATGATCACTTCTGTTGCCTAGAGGAATCTTTCATAAAAGAACCCAAGTTCTAGTTTTAGCACCATCATACTCTGTGAACTTGGGTGAGACAACGCTGAGCTACAGCTTTCCCTTCATTAAAACAAAGGTTGGAATATGTATGTAATTCCCAAGGTCTGTCCAAGTCCTGAAGCTCTGGCTCTTAAAACTCCATCAACATACTCTTTGAGGGCTCACAGCGTGCAGCCCTGGGCACGGGGCTCTCTGTCAGCACATGTGACCTCCAGGGGCCTGAACTTCAGTCTGTTCAAAGCAAATGTGACTTTTTAAGGAATCTGGAGTGTCTGGACCTCGAATGGGTTACAGTGCTACTTCTGCGTGCTGAGCCAACACGCAGTACAGAGGCAGCTTCCTGGGGGCAGCAATGCAGTCCTGGTAAGCCTTTGTCTGCTGTGCGTGGGGGGGCGGGGGTGGGGGTGGGTGAGTGTGTTCCACAGCCACACTCCGGAAACAGCAAATGAAGCCACACGCAGTGCAGGGCAGCTCCCTGGGGCAGGAATGCGGCCCTGGCGACCCTATCTGCAGAACTAGGCCCCGAGCAGGCGCTCCACATTAAGGGTGGAATTAATGTGGAAATGGATTAATACACTTCCATCCAACATAATAAAAGAATAACAGTGCATGATATAAAACTACAAATGTCTTGATGGTCTCTTCCCCAATCTATTCTTCAAATAGTTCATGATTGGGTTCATATAGACTGAGAATTTTACAAACAGTACATCTAACCAGACACCACAGAAGCCATCTGTTCCAAAGACAACAGAACTGAGTCCAGACTGCCTGGGTCCTAAAGCCAATTTGCAGAACGAGAACTTGAGCCTTGGGCCCAGGCTACCACTGCTTCCAGGCAGCTGGCCCCCGCCCCCAGGGGGAACACCAAGGATCAGGGACAAACGCCTGGACATGGGAGGGACAAAGCAGGACACACACACCACCTCCCGACTCACGCTTAAGCGCAACAAGTGAGGCCCGCCCGGGTCTCAGGCCCAGAGTCACCCTCTCCCTCCCCCCTTCCCCAAAAAGGATACGGGAGAAGAGCTCCACACTGAACGGACAGGATCACCCAAGAAGGCTGAGGAAGAAAACAAAAGTGAGAATCAGAACACAGTTCCGGTTCGTGTTCAAAACGTCACCACGCGACCAGCGCTGCTCCTGGAAATGAAAGGCCAGTGATGCAGCCTCCAGCTTACAGTCACCAGTCTTCAAGTATTAGCGTCAAGTATCAGCTATTAGTCCCCAAGGGGAAAAGCCCAACTGTGGAATGAAACACTACCAGCTCTTTAAAAGATTATTATATATTGAAACTTAAATCCTAGGTTTCCACACTTGCTCAGTCATTCCAGTTGTGTCCGACTTTGGGCCACTGTGTAAGCCTCTAGTCCAGCTAGAAGCTGTCTTCACAACTGGAGGCTTTCCCCACCCACGTCCCATGTACACACGACCCTTCCAAGTCTCCTCTGGAGTCCTGAGTCCTGGCTGCTCCAAAGGCGGGAATTTTGGGGTTTTTCTTCAGGAGGCCAAGTAGATACAATGTTTGTAAATCCTATGACGCCTTTCTGTCTGGTGATCCTTCTATGAACTGCAAAACACATTACTTACTACCTTTTTGGGTAAATTATATTTTTGAAAAATCATCTTACTTTGCCATTTAATTTTGAAAATCACATTAACCATTATCCTGGTAGGTCTGCTTCACAGAATTACTGTGTAAAAACACACAGTAGCCAGCTGACTTCAGAAACCTCAGCTGCTTGTATGACACTCACTTCTAATGCAGCACGTATACCCTGAAAGAACCCAAATCAAAGTGCCCTCTCCTTATATGCCAGGTAACATCAACAATTCCTCAGCATAAGCCTATGTATGTCTGACATCTGTGAAGAGTTACTTCACGTTTTACCAAACATTTTACCAAAGTTGTGACTTTGTGGCTGAGCCACCAAGCAGGAAGGAGTGTGTAATGCTGTCTGTGACTCTGGTCCTGGGGAGACTCCAGTGACAGGGAGGGAACTGGCCCCCCAGGACCTTCCACGGGCTCTGCCTCCCGCTCCATCCGGTGTCTCAGCTGCAACCCCAAAGCCCTCCGGGGCCAACGTGTGTGGAGCGCTAGGTGGCTTTCCTGAGACCAGTTCCCTGGCAGGAGGGTACGGCAGAAGGCCAGGTCAGCACCCTGAAACGCAACTCAGGTGGGCAGGCCAGAGGAGCTGACACCGTGGACAGGCACCCTGACCACTCTGCCTGCAGCAGTCACCCCGAAAGCGGTCCCTGAGGACTGCAGGAGGGGAAAGTACGGGTGCACTTAGGGACTGCTGGGCTTGCTGCTGCAAAGTCATCAAATCATGAACAGACTCGCTCTGACCCCTCATCCGGGTAAGTCTAGATAAGGTACTGCAGCTGAGGAGGACGACACACTCGTAGTAACGCAGAAATGGAGGACTAGAAAAGCACAGTAACAGAGAGCTATTTATCCCAAAAGCAAGCAACAATACATAAAATAAAGCCACTGCAAGTCAGCATAATTAACACTTCCAAGGAGGCATCCAAGGCCACTGGGGAAAGTGTTTCCACTAAAAACGAATTTAAAAAGTCTCGGTGGCAGGCTTCCCCAGTGGCTCAGTGGCTCAGAATCTGCTGCCAACACAGGAGACACGGGTTCAATCCCTGGTCCGGGACAATCCCACACGTTGCAGAGCTACCGAGCCTCCGCTCCAGAGCCCGGGAGCCACGGCTACCGAGCCTCCGCTCCAGAGCCCTGGGCACCGAGCGCGCCTGGCCCCACCTTCAGCCGAGCGCAGCCAGCAGCCTGGCGGCACACCAAGCTGGTCAGATGAGGCCTGAGGCTTCCGCGCTGTCCCAGAGTAAGCACAGACTTGCACTGCTCTGGAAGACTCCTCCACCGCATCCCCACACTGCAGCCCTGGAGAGCGCGGGGCAACCACGAGTTAAAGGCAGGCTGGCATGCTGAGAGGGAGCGCGCGCAGCGTGCCCAGGAGCAGCGGGAGACGAGACGCAGGGCCGTGGTCAGCCAACTGGGACACGACGGCTACTTCTGGGCAGCCGCGTGGTGGACGCCCTTCCTGGGAACGCTACCTCTGTGAGGGACTTGCTGATGGGCTCAGGGCTTCAGCAGCGCCCGGTCACCAGCCCGCACTCCCCTCAGAGCTGGTGCTGTGGGCGGGACAGAGGACCAGGTCCCCCAGGATCCACCCCCCACCCCCCAGGGTCTCTACACTGAAATGCAGACTTGCTGCCATCGCCTCCCTTCTCTGTTTCCATTCCAGTTTGGGCCATTTGTATATAAATACTAATATGTGTATTTATGACAAATGATGTTATCTTACGTAACAATTTCATTTCAGGATAATAAAGGGGGTACTACAAAATATTTGCTACAAAAGGGGGCTTGACAGGGTCACCAGACTTAAGAAGCGCTGCTGCAACTGGTCTGGGGATAAGGACCCTGGCACCCCAAATCTGTTACCAAGGGGCTGCCCTTTGAAGGCTCATGGAGAGTCCACACAGTTTACCTGGAATCACTGTGACAACAGGCTGCAGACTAGTATGTGGGGGGAGATGAGGTTCGCTCCCCACAGCCATGAACGGATGGACACCAACCAGGGCCCCAGGGCGCCCAGTGCCCGAGGCAGGTCCACTCTCTTCCAAGGCGGCCCAGGGGAGGCAGGCAAGACACCTGCTGACATCAGTCCTCACGAAGGACCAGGTGGAGTGAGCCCGCTGGCCAGGCAGAAAGTAGCAGCCAGCCAGCACCGTGACTGCTGTGCTTCAACAGCGCAGAGCAACCGCGCGTGGTTCTGAGCACAGTGGCTGTGGGAGGGCCTGGCAGGCGAGCACCCTCCTGTGAGGCAGACCTGCCTGCAGGCTCCCTCTCACAAGTCGGGCTTCTGCGCCTGCGAGGCAGCGTTTCAGAGCCTGCGTGCCGGTGAGGCGGACGCCCGCAGCAGCAAGCTGGCCTGCAGGCTGCCTGCCGCAGCACTCGCCCCTCACTGCCAGGCTCTCGGTATTAAGCCCCGGTAACCTTCATACTGATTTTAAGATAACACATGCAACAGCATGAAACAGAGAAGAAGAAAGAAAAAAAGTGAAATAAAACCATTTTAAAACAAATGCCTAACACAAAACTGAAAAGTCAAAATTACAAACAAATTTCAAAGACCCACATTTAACAGCAGTTAGTTCGACCCTCAGCAGCAAGAGCAGCAACAGGACAGATGAACAAGCTCCAAGCAGTTCAGCCAGCAGCGGACACCCCACTTTCTAGAATAAACGACCCACGGCTCTCAAGCTGGAGAGTGGAAGTGAGAGCTCCCGGGGGGACAGCGAGACCAGCGGTCACCATGACCCTTGTCAGAGGGCAGTGAACAGCCAGATGGTGTGGGGCTCCACCTGACCTGCCTGCCTGGAAATCAGGCCCCCTGGCCACACGGTGTGGGTGCGAGGGAGCCCTGCTTCAGGAGAGTCTCGGGGAGTCGATCCAGCTTCCGAGCAGAATGCACCAGCGTCTCCGTCAAGACAGCATGTCCACTGCCTTCGACATGTTTTCTTGGTCTGGAGAACTTCTGGCCCGTGGCAAACAGACTCACGGCAGCAGGTGCGCAAGCTGTAGCGTGCAGGACCGGGCCTCCTGCTGGCTGGTCTCCAAGGCGTCAGCCATGCTACAAGCGCTTCCCACCCAGACCCGAGCCTGAGCCAACAGCCTGAGAAGAGCCGCACAGAAACTTCTATGCGCCGCTTTCAAGATACACAACCAAGGGTGTAACACTGGGTAGATGCACTACCCACCTTGACGACAGGCAAATCAAAGACTTCACGGGCCTCTCCCACCTCCGGATTGTCCCCGTCCTCCGAGATGATGTGCGAGGCAAGCGCGTTGTAGGACACTTCCTTCGCTTTCCCGGCTTTCAGAAGCTGAATAACCTTCAAAGAAGCACACGAGTTACAAGGGAACAGGCTGCATTTCAATGCATACAATTGATTACCAACCAAGAAAATTCTAATAAACATCCACCACATTCTCCACACAGGATTAACACCTGCCCCCAAGTCATTTGCAAGGAAACCTACGGGGACAACAAAATGCAGCAAGTCTTGATTCACTGACACGGAAGCACAGAGCTCCTGTGACCAAGGTACTGCACGGTGTCCCTCCTGAAGACAGAAGGACTGACAGACAAGGTGAGCACGCCCGGGCGAGCACTGGACACACAGGGTCTCAACAGAAAGGCGCGGGGACAGGCAGTTCTGATAAACAGAGAAGTTCTGCAAGAGGCGCTACAGGAGCAGAGTCTCGAGGAACTTAAAGGCGTCAGCCACGCAGAAACAAAGTCATTGTGCGGAGGGAGGCCTTCAACATGCTGGGCAGAAGAACACAGATCAGACCATCGACAGTGTTGCACAGATGCTACGCCTTTGTATTTTACCCCCAAATAAAATAGAGTGTCTTCTGAAAGAGAGGCTGAGTAGGAGGGGTCAGCAGGGAAGACCATGATCAGACATGACAGAAAGATCACCGCCAGTGGAAGAAGGACAGGTTTACGCTGCAGGAGTGGAGGCAGGACAGGCGTTAAGAAACACCTGCGATAACTCAGATGAAAGAGGCAGGTCACAGAACAGGACAGGAAGATGATGCAAGGGAATTAGCAAGACTTGGTGACTGAGGGGGCATGTGCAAGAAACCACGACAGCACAGCACGGCTCCCAAGCACCACTAAGAGCTTAAGGGGGAAAGAGAGTTTTAGTTTAGGGCACGGCTTTCTCTGGCGCCACTGTACGATCTAGGAGGACATGCAGCGCATCGAGGAGACCAGGGTCCTACCCAAGCAGAGCCATCTGTGTATGACAAAGATGGGGGCAAAGCTCTGAGCCAATGAGTCCAGAGCTGCTGGGGGGGGGGGAGGGGGGCAGAAACAGAGGCTGGGTAGGCAGCAGAGGCTGGAAGGCGGCTGGAGGCCCCGGGTCGGGTCTGAACAGCACACCGCAAGCTTGGGGCGGTGAGCGCGCCCATGTGTGGATGTGAACTAGAAGTCCATTCGACACACGTGAACTCTCGGAACCCTCATTTTAAGATTCAGAGAATCAACCACCTTTCAGAAAATAGTTTCAGACCTAAGTGGTTTGCAAGGACATGTTTAAGCCCTTAGACTTGATTCACAGTTGAGTAAACATGGATCCAGTTCAGCTTCCACCAGGTTTTAAGTAATATTCACTTCAGTTCTCTGTTTACAGTCAAAGTCTTAAAATGAACCAGAGGGTAGGAAGCAGAGGGGAGAGGAACAGCACGCAGTGAAGAAAAGGAACCCACGCTGGAAGGGAGAAGTCTCCACCCTGCTACAGGCACTTACCTTCACCTGTCTGAGCTCACCACCTGTTTATTCAAGTCAAAGCCTCTACTTTAGAGTGGAGAAAGGATCCACCTTGGGGGCTGCCAAGCGTTTAGTCACTAGGACACTAGCACACAAGACTCTAGAAGGCCAAGACCCATCAGCCTGCCGCAGCTCTTTGGTCTCTAAGTTTACCTACTAAGTCCCCGTCTCTACTCAGGAGGCCCGGGCCTCAGTTCTCCACGCTCAGCAGGCACAGCCAAGGGGACACGCAGGCGACGTGACTATACAGATAAACTTTAGGGAAGAGAACACCTGGAGACCCAACTACAGCTCGTTCCCACAACGGAAGCATAAAATTCTGACGTTCAAGCAGATGCACTACTTTAGGAGTGGAGAGAACAGGACAGGACCGAGCTGCAGACCCGCTAGCTGGGCGGAGGGGTGCGGGTGGTGGCTGCCACCTCGGGGGCGGCTAACTGTCCCCTGAGCATCCCGGGACCCGCGTCCCTACTGGCTCCACCCTGCCGAAGCTCCTACCCCGGAGCGCCGGGGCTGCCGCGGGAGAGTATCCCCGTCCGGACTCCGCCCACGAAGGAGCGGAGAGAGGAGGTGGGGCGGGGGGAAGCCGGCGAGGGGCCGCGCGACCGCAGGCGGGTTCCCCCACGGGGAGGGCACGGGGACACCCGGCGCTGGACTCTCCGCGTAGACCCCCTCCACGTGCCCGTCTTCCCCCGAGCCTGGGCACAGCGCCCCCCACCCTGCGCCCGCCGCGGACCCCGCAGACGCGCCCCAGGTCCCCTCCTGGGGCTCCCCTAGCCTCGGGGTGCTCTCCCGCGGGGGCTGCAGACGCCGGTGCCAGCTCCGTCTCCTCCGGCCTTGCTCGGCGCCGGGCGGCCGGGTCTCCGCGCAGCCCGACTCGCGGGTCCCGGGGGCCCGGACGCGCGCGCGGGGGGCGCGGGCTGGGGCCGCGGGGNACGAGCTGCGCATGCGCGCTCGGGGTGGGGGCGGGGCCCGGACGAGCGGAGCGCCGCCAGCGGCGGCCCTACAGGGACCTGAGGTAACGGTCAGGAGCGGGGTGGAGGTGGGGGAGGGGGAGTCCCGGGCTGCAGGGCGGGGGCCGAGCGCCGCGGGCTGCTGGAGGCGCGCCGGCCCCGCGGGTGCGGCCACTGGGCTTCTCCCCATCGCCCGAGCCGGCTCCTGCTCGGGGACCCTGGGCGGTCGGAACCAGCCCCGTTCTCCTCACTCCGGGCGCCTCTGACGACACCTGGCGCGACGCGCGCCCGCGCTGTGACGTTATCGGGCGGCGCCCGGAGAGCCGCGGTCGGGACACACCTGCGCAGGGTGGGAGCAGAACCGGGAGGCCGGTGGGACCCCCGCTTCCCCTGGGGCTCACGCCGCGGCCGGGGCCTGGGGTTGGAAAAGCACGTAAGGGAGGCCCGCTGCTGATCCCTGCTAAGCGGAAAGCCGTTCGATTCAGTCGCTCAGTCGTGTCCGACTCTGCGACCCCATGAACTGAAGCACGCCACGCCTTCCTGTCCATCACCAACTCCCGAAGTTTACTCAAACTCATGTCCGTCGAGTGGGTGATGCCATCCAACCATCTCTTCCTCTTGTCGTGAAGTAAATGTTAATGGAATTGGTCGGGGGAAAAGAAAGAAATCTTTCAGAATGACTGTGGCAGTCTCCTGTTACATTGACTCATTTCTGAGGCTATCACTTTTTAGTCTGCGATCATACATCAGTTCTGAAAGTGAGTAGTTGTGGTTGGTTCATTGATCAGGACTCAGTACCGGGGACACTGGCTCTGTTTAATCAGCAGACACGCCTTTGGTTGTCTGTGCACTCGTTATGTGTGTAATAAGTGGTTTTTGTATGGTCAGAAAGTAAGCACTTTGTATGTCAGTGGCTCAGTCATGTCTGACTCTTTGCCACCCCATGGACTGTAGCCCGCCAGGCTCTTCTGTCCATGGAGTTCTCCAGACAAGAAAACTGGAGTGGGTTGTTATTGCCTCCTCCAGAGGATCTTCCCGACCCAGGGATGGAATCTGCGTCTCCTGCGTTGGCAAGTGGTTTCTTCACCACTGTGCCAGCTGGGAAGCCCAAGCACCTATTTAGTCTTAAATATCCGTATATTTTATCATTCTGATGTTTTCTCTTTTTTCATTTGTCTTTTGAATAGTCTGAAACAACCCTGTTCTAATGCTAACAGTTTTTTTTTTTTTTTTTACAAATAATAAAAACATTGGGTACTTGCCTGAATAAGAATATACTGTCCTCCTTTTGACTAGCCAAGCATAAGTTTGGTATTGGCCCTTGTAACATTTTACCTTCTATGTTAAGAAAATGTAGGAGTGATAAATTCGTTCTAAATATCGAATCAAAATGAGCATCCCCTTTTTTTGACCTGTGTGAGAGAACTTACTAGCTTTTTTCTTCCTTGGTTAAACAGGAACTAAGCATGTACTTTTATAATAAAAGACTTAAAGCATATCTCAACCAGGTGTTTTATTTTGTAAGTTAAAAAAAGAACTTGTAACATTCAACAGGGCAACTTTAGTGTGATTTCAGATAGTCAAGAATGCAAATTATGGAACTAAGAAATCTGTTATTTAAAATCTCATCAACCTGTCAAGAGAGTGTTAAACATTAAACTACGCAAGGTCAGTGTTGTACACATTGGGCCTTATCTCACCAACATCAGGAGGGTCCCGGTCAGAGTGTATCTAACGCACTGCTGCTTTGCCAGTAATAAAAGAAACTTCTTTAGATGAAATCTAACTTCACCTGGGTAAGGCATGTTCTGAGGAAGCATCAGTTCATTTAATGAAAGCTTTGTACTTCTTGGGTACACGTATGACCCCAAACGGGACATTGAGCATTAATATATTTACAGCTTCTCCCAACTAAGTTCAAAGCATGATCATTTTGTTGGTAATCAACCTGCAGAGAACACAGCCTGTTTAATACTAATTTGATATACAGGGTAACACTTCTCATTTTTTATTTTGCAAAATTGGCTATCTTGCAGATAGAGGGAAAAGGTGTGAAATTAGGAAATGGAAAAGTAAAGTTGAGAACAACTCAAATTGTACTTACTGGCAGGAACTTGAGGCCGTTATTAGTAAGTATTTACAATTTTTTTTTTTAATGCACATCTTTCTATGCAACAATCTCAGTCTTGTTCTCATGTTCAGTTCAGCTAGTCACATACCCCTTAAAGTTAGGTACTATCAATGTTTAGTAAACCTTTAGTTGGGGTTTATAGACTACAACATTTGACCTTTTCATGAAAGGGAGTACTTAAGTTAGAGGCATCAGCAAGCCAGCATTTTCTCGCAGGAGAACCTGGGAGCCAAAAAACATGTGTTTCTTTATGGGAGCAGTCAGCCAGCCAACCCACAGGGCACAGTTGCCACCGAAAGTCATGTATTCAGTGTAGAAAAACCAGGGAACATGAATAAGGGAAAAAATAAATTATCTCAAATCCTATCCTGGAAGCAGCGTTACTGAAATCCTTCCTGACACTGTCTCACACACATACATTTTTCCTTGAAAAAAAATTCTACTGTTGCTGGCCTAAAAAAAAACAAAATCAAAAAGGTCCTTCCAGGTCAGTAGATAAAAAATCTACATCATTTAATGGATACATAATACTCCGTTTTTAAATGTACCTTAACTTCATAACCAACTCTATCATGCTTTCATTGTTTCCAGTTCGACAGTTTCAGGGCTGTAAAGTCATCGTACAGTTAGCCCACGCGTGTGATCTTACACTCTTCTTCCGTGCTCCGAGGTCAGGGACTAGCGCCACCTCTCTCCCCGCTCGTGGACCGCGTGCGGAGCACAGCGTGAGTGTTCATCACCAGGACTCGGTCATTGGTCCCGGCTCTGGCGGTGGTGCCCCCCGGAGGCATCTCGACTGGAGGGGAGGGAAATAGCTGGCCTCCAGGGACAGAGGCTGGAAAGCTGCCCAGCGCCCTGGAAGCCCAGGGCAGCCAGCACGCCGACCGCTCTGTGCGCAGGGCCCAGGGTGCCGCTGTGGGGGCGTGGCACGAGGACGCGTGCAGCCTCCACCCGATCAAGACGCCGGACGCTTCTGACCGGCTTGGGGGCTTGATGGCGTTCCTCCGGGCTGCTGTCCTGCGGCTGCGCTGTCTGGGAGCCATTTTCTGCCTGAACTCCAGAGGGGAAGAAGCAAGCAGAACATCGCTCGGGAGGCTCCCCGGCCGCCATGCCTATGGAGAGTCGCCTACCGCCGGGTCCACCCACTTCCACTGGCCAGAACCGGGTCTTGTAACCCCAGCCTGCCCTGCAGGGGAGGCTGGGAAACGTGGTCTTCCTGGTATCCAGAAAAAGGAGATGGGATCGATGGCACTCTGCCAATTTCTGCCATCTTTAGTTTCAAAACAATTCTAACAAACTAAGATCATACTAGTAGACTACAATAAAACATTTTAGAAATTTTATTAAAGATAATTTTAAAAACCATGCTTGCACCTAGCCACTTGGTAGACATGAGTCGGGGGGTCGGTGGCTCTGTGTGGAAAGGGTGAGCGATGGATGTCCTCTTAGAAAGCATCAGGCGTTGGGCCGAGGCCTGCAGCAGCAGCCTCCAGCCCCCTCCTCGCGGAGGTCTTCACCCTGTCCTCGACCTTGTTCCCTGCCCAGGATGCCAACCTCCCTGGGTGGCAGTAACAGGCTCCCAGTTGAAGCTGCTGAACGAGGAGCCCAGCACAGCTGAGAGGGCAGGAGAGAGGGACCGCTGTGTTTATTTCTCGGACCTCTGGGCAGGCTGCCTGGAACTGGCAAGGTCACCTGACCTATACAGCTGCCTCCTCCGAGGCCCCGGTCACCTTTCCTTCCTCTCATTCCTTTGGCCCTTGGTTCCCCCATCACCCACACGTCAGCGTCCACCTTTGTAGCCATCCCTTTATAAATCCGCTTTCTCAGGTGATGCTAATGTGAGTAGGCTGCTTCAGCCATGACCCGAATTACATAGCGGACATGGAGACCTGATGGAACATTGGGAAATCTTTTCTTGCAAATAAATGTTATGCCTGCCCTCAAAAAGCTAACAAGTGCTTGAGCACACAAGCCTGGGAGTGGTGGAATTAATAAATGCAGCGGAGATTTAGAGCAGCACTCCTGTGTGCCGGGATCGATGGGACAAACTTCGCAGATGGAGCGGGTAAGAGAAAAGGTGCGTGTTTTAGATAGTAATTGGTTATTTGATAAAAGGGGTAAATAGGAAATCATATGAAATAAATGCCAAGTATATGAAGGTCCTGAAGTCCCACCAGAGCAGGCTGTTGGATTTGAGGTGTACAATAAACCTGTAGCAGTGGTAACAGGAGAAAAAGAGAACAGCTTACTAGCTGTTGAAGGTAACCTTTGTGGCAGGCTGGCTTTTGAAT